TGTAATTACAACTGTTCTCCAATCTCAAATTCTTGCATTTAAATGGGAATACTGTTATACTTTACAAACCTGAAACAAGATGTCACATGAAATGTATTTACAGAGTTTAATATTAAGCATTAAGAGTCTTCACTAAACATTGAGTTCCTTTGCAATATGATTTTTTTCATTAGCATTAAACTTCCGGCACGATCAGCTTCTGTTCCCATAAACGAAAGGTAATTAGCTAATTAGAGAAGCTAAGCACTGTTACTTGTGCTTAGTCTGATTACTTGGAGAAAAGATCTAACTCAGATGTTACCAAATTTCGAAGGTGATTCGGGAATTAACACTTACATGAAAGGCTTGTTATTACACAGGTATAAGTCAATGTTAGAATGATGAGGGTTTATGCCAGCAATAAGTGTCACACAGTAAGAGAGATGGCATAACTAACTCAAGCTTCAATCATGAAACATAGCAAACAGAAAAAATACTGACCCTGTATCCATCAACTGCTCACCAAAAGGCTCCTGACTGTCACCTCACTGCATTCAGTGCAACCTAATGAGTCATGTGTAGAAAGATTAAGGTCAACAGTCTCATTGCTGGACCTGTTGCTCAAAAGTACTTTCTAGGTGGTTTAAACGTACCACTTCTTTGAATGTTATTGACTGGAAGATTCTAAGTCAAAAAGTTGCATGGGCTTTGGGTTTTCAGATCTGGGTCACATCACTGCAAGCCTCAGGTGGACAAACTACTAGAAACAAAAGTCTCAAATCACTTCGTTTCCAGATGTTTGCATGGGGGATGCTATCAAACACAGGTTAGATTAAAGATCCAATTTCCTCTACTTTACTCCAATGTGGTCACTACAGATATCAAAAGATCAACCTCTATATAAAATGATCTTTCCCCACAAAACACTAAGATTAAAAAACAAACTTCTAAACACTGGAAATACCAAAACTGTCAACACTCATTCACTCGAGTTTATTTGTGATATGTACAGACTTAAGATTGTTCAGTGTTGGATTACAGCTCAAAGCCCAAAAACTTTTATTTGATGTTGGGTTAAGTAGTTGATTAGGCTCAACTCATCATTCTACTGCACTTTGGTGAGTTCTAGACTAAACCTATTGCATGAAATCTTCAAATTTTAAGAAAAAACATTAAGCAGAGGCAGAAATAGATGAGAGAGCAAACTTGAGCTGTAAAACCACTGAGTGAATTAACATTATTTAAACAGCCCAAATGCTATAAATTGAAAATTGAAAGGGCCCAAGTATCAGGGATATCGTGCTTGGGCTCCTAAACTTTCAAGGTGGCAGTTTGATAGGTATGAGTGCTACCAATGGATTCTAGTTACATTTTCACTGGGACAATTTAATAGCCAAATCATAGCTTAAAGGCATCATTTTTTTTAAATCACTGACTTGCAAGTGAAGTGATAGTTCACAGTTCAAATACCCCTGTTTGGGAATTACAGCCTGATACACTGTCAGATAAGTCTGTCGTGCATTTCTGAATAAAGCATCGTGATAGGCTTAGGAGATGGTGAGAGCAAGGAGTTAAGAATTTTATACTAACAAAATATCTGCATCCTTGCTGTTGAAAATTACTTATTCACAACATCAACATGTTCAAAAATACAGAGATATATTCAGTTTCTAAAATTTACTTTCCTCTTGCCCTTTGCGTGCAGTGGGGTTTAGTCTAGTCTTGAAGGTTCATGAGAAATTACCAGTTTACACTTGTTTTTGAAACTCTCCAAACAGTACAGAAATATTCAGTTACTACAACTGCCCAAATATCCATTTCAATTTTTCAATCTGCAATCTGCTATGTATTCTGATTGTGCCTCAACATGGTTTTTAACCAACAAATTTATACATCCTTGTAATTTATTATATTTTACTGCTTCTCATATATAGAAGACACACTGAAAAAATCATTTTATATTAACAAAAGTCTGTATGAAAATTTTAGAAACCTAAAGCAGTAATTTCGTTGTGGCACAAACGAGCTCTGCTCAGCTTCCAACTGGTGAAACACAATGTGAAGAACAAGCTGACAAGCCAGTTATTTCCATCTTAAAAAGTGGAACATTAAGAAAATTACACTGCCTTACAGCAAGCTTGGAAAGCCCCAGGATTCAGTTGTACAAGTTGGCTATTCTGTAACTAGTCTGAAATATAAATGATACAAGACTACCTTCTCCAGATGGTCTGGGGTCTATTTAAAAAAAACATTAATTGCTCCCAATGTGGTCCCGGGAAACAGAGGTAGAGTACGATACTGCTCAGTATGTTGATCACACCATAGCCACATACTTAGCCACCTAGTGACAAATAAATCTTCACTCAATCCTTAAGAGTGGCAAGGATAACTATTTCAGACACATGGAGGCAGGCCACACTTTTATTACTGCCCTGCACTTTGCTTGTAGTAGCACAAAACAGTGATAACAGTCACCTTTCAAAAACAAAACACCAGCTTCACAAGGTTGAAGCTGTACCCAAATGCTAGAAAGTCAGCACCTCTTACCCAAATGCCCTTTGTGGTTGAACCAGAGTGGCAGTCAACATTGGGACTCCTTTGCCACGACTGCAATATAACAGTTGGTCATTAAATCTTTGAAGGGGGGGGGCAGTTAGGATTGGCACAGGGAGGAGCAAAGAGTTGTGTATTGAAAGAATGACTAAAACAGTCCTAGAAGACAGTGCTATAGCTGAATGTATTAAATCAGATTCCACTGTGTTCTCATGTCAACAGCAGTCTCCATAGTTAATTTCCAAATTTTGCAAAAAATTTTTATAAGCTGCAGGATCCCTTCAATTGAAATTAAAATTAAAGGCTTAAAACAGGTGAACGAAATTTTAAACAATAAAGTCACCTTTGTCTTACCAGACCATGGAACTGGTCTCAATACAGACTAGCACTTCCTTAACTTAAGGGTGCAAGCATACCGAGGCGGAGAAGGTGAATCCTTGATAGTAATCTCAGCAGGTGCAGGAATTGAACCCATACCTGTTGGCATCATTCAATCACAAACCAGCTGGCTAGCCAACTGAGCCAAACTAACCCCCTTCTCTGTGCCTGTTAGCAAATTAATAGGAAGACCTGCACACACCCATCTAGAGTACAGCATATAGTTCTGGCCATCTCAAATTAAGAAGAATGCAACAACAGAGCAGTCCCACAAAATATTCATGAAACTTGTTGCAAAGAGATGCTACAACCAGAGACTGAAAAAGCAAAAAGGTTGTTCTCCTTGCACAAGACCATGACGAAATTTGACAGAGGCATTCAAAAGCATGAGAGCTGTGGACAGAGTAGACAGGGCTAAACCATTTCTACTCATGCAAGATTAGAGAACCAGAGGACACCAATTAAAGATGCACAGCAAGACAAAAAAGCAATGGCCTCATGAGTAAAACAGATTGATGCAGCAACTAGCTACATCCAAAACACAGCAAGAGTGTGAAGGCAGATTAAAGAGAATGCGATCATCTGAAAAAGAAAAAACTGCAGGGCAGAAAAGCAGCATAGAACAGTGACGCACAGTGAACTACTCTGAGCCAGTACAGGCAGTGACCCGAATGGTGTCCTATGCTATATCCATTCAATGACTGATTTCAAGAGCTTTTCCTGACTACAGGAATGACCCAAACACAAGAGGGGCTTTAAAATATAGTTACCGTAGTAATGTCAGAAATTTGCCAATTTGCATATCTTCTGTCATGAAATTTTTATCATGAAAGTTCATTCATCTGTGACTTTCTAAAGTACCAACTATCATTAAAGATTTCTTCATATGCTTCAGCAATGTAACCTCTCTGCTATTCCAATTCTCGCTGCCTGCACACTCCCAAGTTTCATCAGCCCACTACTAGAAGGTTCATCTTCAGACATTTAAGCTCTGCAATAGCACCCTAAAATTTCTCCTCCATGTTCTTTAAAGCATTATCCTCATGCTGTGGCTTCAAATTTTGTTTTGTCATGCTCCTGTGAACCACCTTAGGCTGTTTTACAGCAGGACAGAAATACAAAACTGCTAAGAACAAATATTCCAATACACACTCTTATACAGGAAAGGTTCCAAACTTGTCCCTCATTACTCAGAAAAAGCCATCAATAATGTGCAGCTGGGTCACAACTCAAATTGTGTTAAATAAAGTCCATATTTATTCCAGTAAATACAGTGCACAAAACTACTTCATTACCACACGAACAAAATCCAGCACTTCAGCTTTTAACAGCTGCAGCAAATATGCGTGGGAACAAAGTGTTACAACCAGTAAATATTTAGTATGGTTAAGCAAACTACTGTAGATGGTGACTGATCATGAGAAAGGGTGGCACCATGTTAACATGGAACTGCGCAGATAAATAGAAATGTCTGCATGCCATTTACTACTGAAACAACCCCACATGCAGTCTATTGATATGAGCCTATCTTCACTCAAAGAAAGTTCAATTAGTTTACATTTATTTACTTAGACTTTAGTAGAGCCTTTAATAAGGTTCCACATGGTAGACTAATTAGTAAAGCTCACTCACATGGGATTCAGGATAAGCTTGCTAATCGGACACAAAATTGTCTCCTACTGTAAAGCCAAGGGTGGTGAAGCAGGGTTGTTTTTCAGACTGGAGGCCTGTGACCAGTGTTCCACAGGGATCAGTGCTGGGTACACTTTTGGTTGGCATTCATATAAATGATTGGGTGAGATTATAGGAGGCACAGTTACTAAGTTTGCAGATGGCACCAAAATTGGTGATATAGTGGACAGTGAAGGTTATCTAGGGTTAGGGAAATCTTGATCAATTGGGTCAATGGGCTGAGGACAGCAGAGGGAGTTTAATTTGGATAAATGAGAGGTACTGCATTTTGGTAAAACAAACAGGGGCAGGACCCTGGGTAATATTGTAGAGCAGAGAAACCTAGGGGTTCAGGTACAGAATTCTTTGAAATTTGCACAGGTAGACAGGGTGGTTATGGAAGCATTCAGCACACTTGCCTTCATTGCTCAGACCTTTCAATATAGGAGTTGGGACATCATGCTGAGGTTGTGCAAGACACTGATGAGGCTTCTTCTGGAATACAGTGTCTAGCTCCGGTTGCCCTGTTATAAGAAGAATATCATTAAACTGGAGAGGATTCAGAAAAAATTTACAAGGATGTTGCCAGAACTGAAGGATTTGAGTTAGGCTGGGACTATTTTCCCTTGAGTGTGAGATTAAGGGGTGACCTTATGGAGGTTTATAAAACCACGAGGGGCATAGATAATGTGAATAGCAAAGGGCTCAGCCCCAAGGTGGGGTGAGTTCAAAACTAGGGGGCACATTTTTAAAAGGTGAGCAGAGGAAGTCGAAAAGGATGAGAGAAGCTACATTTTACACAGAATGGTTAGTGTGGAATGAACTGCCAAAGGAAGTGGTGGGTGCATGCACAATCGCAACATTTAGTAGACATTTGGATAAGTAAGTGAAAAGGAAAGGTTTAGAGGGATATGGGTCAAATGGAGGCAGGTGGGACTGGTTTAGTTTGGGAACATGGTTGGCATGGACTAGTTGGACCAAAAAGAGTCATACAGCATGGAAACAGACCCTATGACATTTCGCATATTGAGTCCTATCCAACAAGCAGTAACTGAATGGTCAATAACCTGTTTTGGCCAGACTTTCACAGATCACAGTACTATTGCCAGTTCAGTTGACAATCTCATTTTGGATGTGAAACAATTTGCACAAGTAAAAATTGGTTTCCTCTTTTTCAGCAATGCAAGCAAAAGCTGTCAACCTAATGCAGCAATCAACTGCCGATAAACAAATGTGCAGCATATTAGGAAGAGTGATCTTTGCAGAAATACTGGCACTGAAATTAGAGATCACAAGCCTCTGTGAAATGGGAATATCTGAATGACAGGCTGATTAAAAGGAGTTATTCTGCAGCTTTGTTGCAATAAGACTGTCCATGCATCTAATTTCAATATTAACCTTGTTCAACTGCCTTATAAATCTCTCGTTCGATATCTGAATTAACACAGAAATATTTCATTTTCTCATCTTTCACATTTTCAAAATGATTACCCAGGGGATCGTCTTCAACTTAGCTCACTGGTTTCTTTATAGAAATGCTACATCATATGTCAAAAGCCTATAGATTCTCACAGCTGGAAGCATATTACTTGGACACCTCCATATTCATTTTGACAGCTACACCAATTCCGAACACATTCTATGCAGTTACTGAACACAAGTAATATGCCATAAATGTAGCTATTATTTTGGCATCTAGTTACAGTTGTATTATTTCTATTAAACTTCATGTCTAAATTAAGCTCTTTCTTCAACAAAGCATTCCTACTTGTTTATTTCACTCTTGCAATCAAAACAAACTATACCAGTATTTTTAATTTGAATGTAAATTAAATTTAAATTTCAGTGCTAGGTTCTTATTCCTTTAAAATTTAGCCCAATTTAATAGGATAGATAATGCTGCTTCGAAAAAAGGAAACTGCAACCCCCTACACAGTTGTTATTAAGACACCAGATTATTTCACAACCAGATTTAATTATAAGACAGAAGACAAACTACTGCTCAGCTGTATTGTGCAAAAAGGTCACATTCAAAAATTGCAGAGGCAACTTATCTTGAGCTGAACAATACTATTAGCAACAACCACATATTTGGCAAAATGATTTGGAGGACCCCCAGAAGTCTTCAAAATGACCACTTTATGCACCCAGAAATTATTGCTACATAAACACCCTTTCAAAAGGCAGCAGTTAAGTGCCAGTTTTGATACATTGTACATTTGTATGAAGTCTAAAACATCACTAGCCAACTATATTTAAACCCAAAAATTAATTTCATTTCCTCTCTCACTGCTTCTAGTGAATCTCTGCAGTTAGTAACCATAGTTCAATTCAAACGTTTGTACGCTGCTGATGGAAGCTGATGCCAGCCTGATCAGGCTTATCATTGCTACAGTCTGAGCAGTGTTTGAAACCTGAGAGAATTAACAAACAACAAAAAAAACATGCAATTTACTCCACACAAGTTGCAGCTAACATTGCAATTCCAGGTTCTGTCATTAAGGGGAGGCACTCATGTGGGGGTAGAGAACACAAAAAGAAAAACAAGTAGGCAAGCAAAGAACATGCAAGCTGAGATTGTTAAAATAGATGCTGCTAACGTAGACATGGAGAAAAGGATAAGGGGATGGGGGGGGGGGGGGGGGGAGATTTGGGACACCATGAGTTGACCTGCTTCATTAAGGTTGCGGCTCTCCAGAACAAATTAAAGATAAAACACACCGAATAAAAAACTTATTGTCCCCGTGTGCAATGCTTGGCTGAGATTAATGCCCCGCTGCTCCCTATTGAAGGTGTTTATGTTGCTAGGGCCAGGCAGCAGGAGCAGGTGCAGGTACCTTTGCTGACGGGAGATGTGCAGCAGGAGGCCGAGTGACTGCCTTTCCTCTCCCCGGACGGGGCCGCCCTCCAGGCCGTCTCTTGCTCCCCCGGCCCTGGGCCGCTGCTGGTCGAGGTGGTGACGCTGTGGAAGGCGCTGCGGCTTCCCGGCGGAGAGACGGACGGAGCCGGGGAAGGAACCGAGGGGGAGGGGGAGGAGCCGGGGGCCAGCCGGGCGCCGCCGGGGGGAGTGCTGCCGGCGGCCGCTCGCAGCTGAAAGGGGACGGTGGCTCGGAGCGGCTGAGGGCGGCTGGAGGTCGGGGAGCCGCTGGGCCGCACCCGCGGCGTCACTTGCGAGGACATCGCCGATCGACGGGACTTGGAATTCGAAGACAATAAATGGCGGCGGCAGCGGCGGCTGTTCAGCGACCCCCTCCAGCTGCTCCTAGCCCACCAGCTCCTGGGGAGAAGATCCACTCCCCTCGCTGCTCCCTCTCTGTTCTCACACTGTACATCAACACTCACTCGAACTTTCCCTTAGCCCCATCACCACCGTCCCGCCCCCTTATGGCCTCCTCTCTCCCCTCACTGGCCGTGCCTCTGCCGGCTCGAACTCCGATTGGTCTGACTCCCCGTCCCTCATTCCAGCTGTGACCAATCGCAAGGGGCCGATGGCACATTTCTGGACGGCTGCCTGGAAGGAAAGACACTGATTGGTCGTTCGGCAGGAGGGCGGGGCCTTCTCCAGATCTCCCACTTGCTTGGTGAGTGCCGACATCAGTCAAGGCTGTCGCCGATAGCTATTGGATGAGGCGCGACGGGGGCTCCATGGCAACGACGGTGAGTGACGTCACAACCAGTGCCGCGCGGTCATGTGACCGTCTCTCCCTGGGTTTTACTACAGCCTTTGACGTCACAGCAACAATAAAAATAATGAAAAACTCCTTCTATTTCTCAATGAGTTTCTAATCAAAAAGGCTGCCGCCGTCTCATTACAGTGCAATAAACTGACGTGCGAGTAATTTTTTTTCTCACTGCATTTTCTTCACTTGTTTTTGCTTTAACTGTGTCTCTTTTCTACAGCAACATTGGTATTCTCCTCTTCTTCTCATCCCCTGCCAGTTAGTGCGACAAAATTCAGAATAAGGTCACCATCAACAGATGCAATGCACCGATGCACTCCTTGAGCTGTAGAAGTTACCAAGCAGGTGTGCTGGGCAATCTTGCAACTGAATAGCCTATGGTCCTGGCACTCACCAATTCAGCTATTTGCAAAGCACTGACACTGTAGGTGTTTTCTGAAATAAAGAATGAGCATACCCTACTGGTGTGTCCATATGTTCTGGAGACCTGAACACCAATGTCTGTGCCGTTGTTGACCGTACGGATGTACAGTAAATAATTTCTGAATATCTGTTAGCAATTTAGTCTCTCGCCATCTGAAAAAGACAGAAATTATATACAAGCCTGTCCCTGGTAAATATAGTGAGTCACTCAGTATTGCCATCAGATATGCCCTGCAGTAGATTCTTACCTACGCTGGCAATATCATGTCATTTAATGATCTCTTTGTAAACAGTGTGTAAACTCTTGTGTGGCTGGTAAAATGGGCTAAACAGTGGCAAATAAGGTTTATTAATGAAAAGTATGAGGTGATGCATTTTGGGAAGACTAACATGGCAAGCAAATACATATTGAATGGTAGGAACCTAGGATGTACGGCAGTCAGAGGGACCTTGGTGTGCATGTCCATAGATCCTTATGAAGGCAGCAGGATAGGTAGTTAAGATGATTAAGAATATGTAAGGGATTCTTGCCTTTGTTAGTCAAGGCATCAAATACAAGAGCATGGAGGTTGTAATAGAGCTGTATAGAACATTAGTTCGGCCATCGCTGGAGTATTGTGTGCAGTTGTGGTCACCACACTGTATGAAGGATGCAGAGGAAATTCACTAGGATGTTGTCTGGGCTGGAGTGATTCAGCTATGAGGACAGCCTGAATAGGCTGGGGTTGTTTTCCTTACAGCAGAGAAAGCTGAGGGAGATCTTGATTAAGGTGCACAAAGTTATGAGGCGCATAGATAGTGTAGATAGGGAGAAACTTTTACCCTGACTAGAAGGATCAGTAACAAGTTGGCATAGTTTTAAGGTAAGGAACAGGAAGTTTAAAGGGGATTTTAGGATTTATTTTCTTTCATCATGTGGTAGGTATCTGGAACTCACTGCCTAAAATGGTGGCAGACACAGGAATCCTCAAGGCATTTAAGAAGCATTTAGAAGAGCACTTGAAACTCCATACCACACAATGCTGTGGACCAAGTGCTTCAAAATGAAACTAGAATGGTTAGATGCTATACATCTGATGCAGACATGATGGGCTAAAGGGCCTTTTCTGTCCTGTAAAATCTCCATGACTCACTTACAAACAGCGTGCTAACTTTAGTCAGTTCTACTTTTTATCAGTGTCTACATATGCTTTGTATATATGCTGTTTAAATTGAGCAGGTCTCCCTATGGTGTTGATGTGCATTGTTGTTGCTGTTCATCTCATCTCTTCTTAAACTAAGAGTGATTGCCTTTCTCCAGGAAGCATTATTCAATGGCTATTGCTATTGCTATGGCAACTGTTGTTCCTGATCCACCTCCATTCCTGGAGATTGTTCAGAACCCTGTAGCTGATGGTCATTCTGTACTTTGTACAGGTGGTGCAATCACATCTTGTGATCAACTGCCTATGTGGGCTGACTCTTGTTGAAAGCACTGGAAGTTTGCATTCTGGTTGGCTCTCCAATGCTCAGCTCTTACTGTTACTTGGAAGTTTTATCAATGTGAGATTTGACTTTCTGTCATTTCTCTTTGATTTTGTTAATCATGCCTGTTGCTACTCCTAACTTCAGCTGTTATTTTTTGCTGTAAAAGAATAATTGGGAGCAATATAATACTAATCTTTGGACTGGACTACGTTCCATGTCTTCAGAAGTAGTGTTACATTCACTGAAGGATTGCCTTGAATAAGTCTGTGCTGGATTTGCTCAATTTCTTTATCATCCAACTTGTAATTTTGAAGCTGCGTCAGACTTTCCATTTGACTGCAGATCATGCAGAGATAATGTCTGTGTTAAATTTCCCAATTAATGTCTGAAATCTCCATTCATGAATTGTGTGCCATTGTCACTTATCGCAATGTCTGGAATAATGTAATGACTCACGTGTGCTTTCAGGCATACTATAATCTAACTAGTAGTCTTCAGATGGTCTAGTTTCCAGTAGTCAGTATAGTACTCAATGGTGACGAGGTAATCAGTTACTGTGAGAGTGAAGAAGTCTACTCCAAGCTTTATGCATGGGTAATATGGGATTTCATTCATCAGAGCAGCTCTTTATCTTGCTTATCTTTATCTGGTATTTATTACAAGAAGTGCATTAGTTGATGTGGTGGTTAATTTTAATCCTCATGTTTGGCCAGTTGAATACCTCTCTTTCCTTCCTCAGATTACAAAATTCCTTGATGGCATGCCTGGATTTGCTTTAGATATCTTTCGTCACTTCCTCAGGGGTAAGAACTCTATTTGCTTTGTATAAGATCCCATCTTGGGCTATCATTTAATCTCTGTCTGCCCAAAAATCTCTTAGAGCAACGGATGTGCCCATGATGCTTTCAGGCCATATTATCGTCATTAATTCCTGGAGCACATGGACAGCTGCATTTTATTATATGCTTTGCTTAATTTGAACATCTTTCAGATTTAATGTGCCTGTTAGTTGATGATTTCCAAGGCATTGTTTCGCATTGAATCTGAAATATTTCACACTTTGCCTCCCTTAAAGGGGAGAGTTGCTTTTGATGGCATGTTGGTTATGTACATCTGTTTCTCTTTTTGTATGTCTCATCCAGATGATGATTCTGCAAACTAAGTGACATTCTTTGCTTTCGAGTGATTTGTGGTCAAGATACAAGTCAATCGTCTCTCCAGAACAGGTATTGATTAAAATGCTCACAAGCAAAGAAATTGTCAAACACACTTTCTCAATGAGAGTGTAGCAGAATTCAGTTTATGTTAATGCCCAGACACAAATGCAAATGGTTGTCTTTCTCTCAGAAGGATTGCTCCAAGCCCTGACTTGCTGGCATTACACTGCGATGTGACTTCACAATTGACATTGTGATACCTCAGCACTGGCATTATTGTTGCTAATTGTTTAAATTTAGTGAAATCTGCCTCTTGTTCTGTTCCCTAATACTATCCATTACATACGCATAGCAGGATAACATAGAGTTGCACATATCTGATGACAAATTAGGCATGAACTTTGCAAAGTAGTTCGTGAATCCGATAAAGCATTACACTGATTTCACAACTGTTAGTTTGTGCATCTTTGCTGCACCTTGTCAAGATCTGGGTGTATTCCTCTCACAGTCAGTACACGAGATATGTAGTTGACTTTGGGTGTCTTCAATCTTTTATTGTTCACCTTCAGGTGAGCTGTCTCAAGCAGTTGTGATAGATTCTGATTGTGTTCATCATAGAATCCCTACAGTGTGGGAACAGGCCCTTCGGCCCAACCAGTCCACACCAAACCTCAAAGCATCCCACCCTGCTATAACCCACCTAATCTACACATCCCTGAACACTACAGGCAATTTAGCATGGCCAATCCATCTAGCATGCACATCTTTGGACTGTGGGAGGAAACCAGAGTACCCAGAGGAAACGCACACAGACACGGGGAGAACATGCAAACTCCACACAGACAGGCACCGGAGGGTGGAATCGAACCCGGGTCCCTGGCACTGTGAGGCAGCAGTGCTAACCACTGAGCCACCGTGCCGGGTTCTGTATTGGCTTCTTCAATTGTGCCTGCACATCTATAGACTGGATCATCCACAATAGTTTCCATTCTGGAAAATTAGTGATTATTTCATGCTGTCTTTGTTGGTACTCTTCTGGATCAGTGGAAATGACAAATGGGATGCACAGCCATCTGTACCAACCAGATATAATCCAGAGTGTAGTTAGAAAGCTTTCGCATTCACTCGGCTTAGCTTTTCTTCGCATCAAGGGTGGTAAAGACTTGCCCTCACATCAAGGGTGGTAAAGACTTGCCTTCTCAGGCAAATTGTGATAAAATATCTTCAATGGCTAGCATTGGGTTGTAAGATCTCTTCAAAGCTTTACTGAGATTCTTTGGATCTATGTATACTCTCAGTTTTCCAGGGTTTTTCATTGCTACCATGTTCCTAATCCAGATTGATGGAATTGTCACTTTCTTGATTCTTCCTTCTTTCCAGCACTCCTATCTTATCTTTCAGGGTGGACTTGAGGCAGATGGAACTCTCCTGTTCATGTGTCTTTTACTTTCATCTACTTCAAGATAATATTTACTAGGAAGATACCCAAGACCCGGAAAACCACCTTTGTAATCTTTTAGGATCTGTTGAGAAGTCAAAGTCTTAAAGGCCTGCAAAACCCAGCAAATTTCTTCTGGTGTATTTAAGATTACTGGTCCAAACTTTAAACTTGTTTCAGGGGAGATATGTGGATTTTACTTAACATCTACGATC